ACTCAAACATCATCATGAGCATGCCAGGCGCGCCGTAGACCAAGAACTCGCCGACGCCGGCCGACGCGCACCGCCAGTTCCACCTACGCCCGTTTGTGGCGTTGTCCATGTCAAAATTCAGTGCGTACCCTGGCCAGAAGGCCCGCGCGTTCGGATGCCACCAGTAGTATACACCGAGACACAGCGGCTGCGCGATGTTGGCGGCCGACCGACCGATCGCAGCGCCGAGAAAGCCATAGGCCGAGTGGTGCACGAACACGTAGCCGACGATCGCGTTCACAGCATTCCCCACGAGGGTGCAATAGACCATTGGGAGCGCCACGTTTTGTGCCTGGAGCGTCTTCTTCAAGAGCTCATAGACAAAAGCGAATGGCAGGCCAAGGACGAGCCAACGTGCATACGCGCCGGCGAGGACCGCGACGCGTTCCTACGATGCAGGTTGGTGTCGGAAATGCAATGAAGTTGCGGTACCGGCTGATGCAGCGCGAGAAGAAGATCCGTTGCAAAGAGGTGGAGGAGCAAAATCGGCAAGAAGAGAACACTGAGCACGAGAAGGCCCGACTGGAGGACGACGCCAATGCGCTGGAGGTTTCCAGCACCGTACGCTTGCGAGCAGAGCGTGTCCATAGCGCTGGCCAAGCCGAGGCCAATGCTGTACCTACATAGATATCGCGTTCTTTAAGCAAACGAATCGAAAGCGCTCGAGTTGCCATCGTACCCCGTCACGTTGAAGTACATGTCAGCGAGCGACGCGGCGCCTAGGACGAGCTGGATGTCGGCAGCGTCACTGTGTCCAACGACGATCAAACTCACGACGCCGGGGAGAAAGCCCAAGACGTAGGTGAGCATCTACCGCCGGCGTAGTATGAGCACAGATAACGAACGATGCGGGGGAAGTTGGACGTACGACAGGCGGTGCCAAGTAGCACAGGTGCTGCATCTCGTCCCAAAAGACATCGTCTGCCTCTGATGTTGCAAGCTCGATGGCAACGGCCGCTTCGCACGGGCTGTGGCCACCGACCTGGCCATACCGAGGCGCTCCGCGCTGGAGGCTCGGAAGCACCATTCCTTTGAAATCGCAAGTGACATGCCAAACTAACGGGCGCCACCCACGCCAGCCGCTTGCAACAGCCAATGCAGCGCGCCGCTGTACGTGGCGCAGAGTCCTGTC